AAGATCAGAGTTGTTTTTAACGCTTTCRAAGTAGAGTTTCATAAACTGCTACGACTTTATAATTCGAGAGTTATTGTCGCCGATTCGTGAATATCCACGTTGATATCGCCTTAGCTTTGGGTATATAGTTCAAAAGCAAACTTTTGGCGAACGCTGTGTTCTCAAATAGCTGAAATTACTCTACAGTTTTTCGCTTGGCTTGGATCACATTGCCTTTGCAATCAGTTGTCTTTTCTTCACTCTTTTTTCTAAACATTAACTCATAGCCTCAAATTTTGAGAAATATAAAWATCGACAGTTRTGCACTTCTARAGCTCAATAAATGCTATTTTTACATAACAATTGACTTATCTCTGAAAAAATATTATCTATTTTTCCACAAGCAAATCACAAAGATATACAACATACACCCTTACATACATACATACATTGGTACATCACAAAGTATCACTGTTTGGTACATTGTTCGGCTTTGCGATACAAATTCGGAAAACACATGGCCTCAAGCTCAAATTAGGCCAACTATTATGCTACACATATATATAGTATATGGTAATTAGTTAGCAAACGCTAAGCAAATTGTTGTGGAGACATCATTGAAAAATAAAACTTTTCTCACTGAATAATTTGTTGATGTAGGCCACATGTAGCTCAGACAGTTACTGCTAAAATTTCGGGAATAAAAAACCGGGTTTCAGAAATTTTGAATCGGAAAACTTTTTAAAGAAATACCGAAATTTCGGGATTAAAAAATCGGGATCGGGATTGAGAAATTCTACATAAAATTTAAATTTTTTAAATAAATACGGAAAATTATATTTTAAATTTTTAAAGAARTACCGAAATTTCGGGATTAAAAAATCGGGATTGGGTTTGAAAAATTTTACATCAAATTTAAATTTGTTAAACAAATTCCGAAATTTCTGGATTCAGACAAATACAATTTTTTAAAGAATTCCCGTTATTTCGGAATCTAACAGTCGAGATCGGGACCGGGTTTGGTATCGGGATGCAGGCAATTTGAGTCAGGAAATTTTTAAAGGATATACCGAAATTAGGATATTGAAATACGGAAATTTCTGGATTCAGACTTTTGCATTTTTCAAAGAAATACTGAAATTTCGGTATTGAAAAATCGAGGGATACTAAAATCAGGATGGAGATTGAGAAATTTTATACCAAATTAAAATTTTTTTTAAACAAATACGGAATTTTCCCGATTCAGACTTTTACATTTTTCAAAAAATCCCGAAATTTCAGAATSTAAAATTCGAGATCGAGATCAGAATTCGGACTTTTCAGGATTCAGATTGCAATTTGAATCATCAAATTTTTGGAAGAAATCCCGAATTTAGGATTATAAAGTAGGGATCGGGATTGAAAAAGTWTACATCACAAAATTTTTAAAACAAATACAGAAATTTCCGGATTCAGACTTTCGCATTTATTCAAAGAAATCCCGACATTTCAGAGTSTAAAATTCGAGATCGGGATAGGTAGCGGGATGCAGATAATTTGGAGTGCGAAAATTAAAATAAAAAAATTAAATTTTTTAAGTTTTCGGTATTGAAAGATCAAAATCAGGATCGGAATTCAGACATTTTGGTTCCCAGTTTATKAGAAACAACCCTGTAAGCACATTGATTTGGTAAAGTTATAGTTTCGAAAACCAGGATCTTCTGATATCAGAGGATAAAATGGACAAGTGAGTGCACTTAGCTAAATTATCTCTAAAAAGATTATCCGTTATCTTAGAAACAAAAAATTAAGATGCTATACTTAAATAAGAAAGAAACCTCGTTTAATTAGCAATCAAAATTTAAGCGGAAGAAATTCTATCAAACGCTCGCACCGCTTTAAAAGCCTTATATTTACACAAATATCGGTWTCTTGCCTCTACTTCCAGCTCGCTTGATTAAATTGAACATCTGTGCATTTCTGACTTTAGAAGAAAAAAAAAAACGAAATATAAAACTTGCCGCAATAATTTTTCAACAAAGTATAATCAAACATTTCCTTGCTGCTGCCAAGTCTTCCTCTCTTTCCTCTCTCCCCCCCTCTAACTGACGCAAAGTAGTTAATCAATAGCAGAAATATGAGCCGCATGGCATTTGTCTACAAAATTTACATGCCATTGACTCTTATTTCCTCAATTTTTTTTATTACGRCATCGAAGTGTTGAAATATTAGTCCGGAAAAAGTGAAAACTCGACATTTGTCGTGGAGAAAAAATGCAATAGCTGAGYATTCGTTAATATAATTTAMATCTATTAACACCCTCRATGGGATAAACAAATTGCTAAACAATACCTGGTATATGTTCATATGCATATATGTGTGTATGTGTGAGAACTCAAAACACATAAGTGCCTCTCAAAGGTAGCACTTAAGTGCTTAAGTTTATTTGTTTATGCACATAAGTAAGAGTATCACCGGCTTCCGGTGTACGCCACTTCGGCTGATTTGTTATTAACACTCGGTCGCGGTGCTTCTTACACACTGACTGSCACCCTTAAACGTCTCAACGCTGTGAACGCCGCAGGAGCGCGCACACGCACACAATCGCACCAAAAGGACAATCTGACCTGTCTCTTATACACATCTAGATGTGTATAAGAGACAGCTTATGTACTTATCCCGCATTGGCAAGACTATGCGGTAGGTATCTGGAGTTCCCGTGGTATGCTGTCTCTTATACACATCTAGATGTGTATAAGAGACAGGACTATAGGAACATGATTTGGAATGGCCAAAATATCTAGAGCAGGGCATCAGGAAAAAAATGGAGCATCTCTTATGTACTTATCCCGCATTGGCAAGACTATGCGGTARGTATCTGGAGTTCCCGYRGTATGATACACTGGAGGAGGYATCGATAGTAAGGCCGCAGAGTCTGCCARAACTGATMTATGYGTGGATTATTGTCCAACCAKATTAACCTTACCTAACCTAACCTATAAGGAAACTTAGTTTCTGAAAATTSACAACGGTAAAGTCTGSCAAGCAGCTGATTGTCACATAAATTGAGCATCAATTAGCAGTGCATTCTACGTACTCTCTTGTCATGACTAAGTGAGTAAAGGCGGCGTCAGAATGGATACTTGAACGTTATTGACGGATAAGTGTGGCAATGAACTGCCATACGTAACGTAAAGATATGCCAMAAACATTCGGCAAGTAAACATATATCAGCTGTTCTTCATAATCGYCAGCTGTCAATTGAATACGTTGTCGTATCCAAAAGTTGAGAGTTGATCTACCGGTTGCTTCTCCGGTAGAGTATTCGTAAGTCGTTTTAAATATGTGAGCAATATGAGATGTGAGATTAAATGCTCATAATCAATCTGCAGAGTACAAAATATATATTTAAGTCTTTGTTGCAGATTCTAGTGCTATTTATAGTACTATCATGCGACCCTTTTTTCAGTAGAAAATTCTGTTTGTTTCTTGTTTACAAGTATCCACTTTTATCATATGTTATTGTTTGTTGTTTACGGTTTATGTTTGTAGCGGTACCATGATTGTCAAAACAAGTTCTATTGTTCTAAAGTTGTTGACATGAAAATGCTTATCGCTAGTGCATTGACTAAGRTAATTAATAGAATAAAGACAAAGTGAAACTAAGTGAAGTTATGTCATTAACTAGCGTAAAGGAGAGCGAGAGAGAGAGAGACAATTTATTAAAAAAAATATTATTGATATCAACATATTATATAATTTTCTTTGATTTGTCAAGGGAAAAAATTTGTAGATTTGAAAATTTCAAACAAAAACTTTATGGATTTTATCAATTATTCAAAAATGTTATAGTTTTCTTAAAATATTAATGAATATATTATTAAAATATTATTATATTAGTAAATATTTATTTAAAAATATTAAAATTTTTTATACAATATAGATGTGTATACACGCACACAATCGCACCAAAAGGACAATCTGACACGTCGCCGGACTGCCTRCTGTCATACATATGTACAACTAAGCGTATATTTGATAAAGATCAACTGGCGAAAAGCACCCGAGGTCATTCGTATAGGAAAAAGCGCCCAACTAAAGAGGCAAATAAACTTTTACGCCGCGAGGCAAACATCTGTTTTCCTTATTATTCATTATTGGGATTGAGGGTGGGAGGTAGGAATGAGACAAAGTGAGTGCTTGACACTATTTTGTGCGTGTTGAATGCGTGTATTGTTGCTATTTTCGCTCGCGGCCATATGAAAGTGAGCTAAATATTATTTTAAATAAGCAACTTAAGTCAATCGGATGCCGTTATTCRTATCGGAAATACACAAAATGCCAAATTAATAATAATAAAGAAAGTGTGGCGCAATTATTTCGATGCTCTGCGGGCAACTGTTATAATAATGTACGAAATTGTAAGGGGKTTTTGAGGTTATGTATGCACGTATGCGTCGGGGAGATTTGAGTTATGAAAGTAACTGAAACGGTTTTAACCTTGTTGAGTCATTGTTTCATTCRCCTTCTTACTTAGCTAAAAATCGAGCTTTACACAATTCTCTCTAACAGATCCTACAGATCCTCGCTAATTATTGAATAATAATTATTTAAATTTAATCTTATAGATACCTTACAAGTTTTTTATGTAGTTGAGGCAGTTTAAAGACCTAGTCTTTTCCRCTATCTGCCTTAGATAGATACACGAGGAATACACCGTCACTTTAGGTCTATTGAGCCCTCTGCTAAATCACAAAGTCTCCCCACCCCCCAGCATATTGATAAAATCCAATATATTTCTGAGTGCCAGCGAAGTGATGTGATCCCGATTTGGGCCSAAGGGCCTTCAACCTGCGTCTGCAGACTGCTATGCAGTTAATTATTTAGCTAGGTACTGGTCTTTGTAAAATCCGCAAATTAAATTTGTTCATGTAGAGATTATAGTTTGCTAATCCATCATATAAGGGTTATAACAATTRGCTCTCTCAACCTGTTTATCAATAATTTGAGCTCCAGAGACCCGAGAAACNTTTTATTTTCAGATTTTTCCTGAAATTCTTTTTGAAATGCAACCAGAACTGTTTAAAAAATGCCGGCAATCCCAGAGACATGAGACGCTTTCAGGTACAGTACTTAAATATTACTTATTTTTAGACAGGTACAGGTAGTTATGGAAATGTTAGACTAAAGAAAAATATAGCAATTATTTAACAAAAATTATTTTATAAATATAAAATGTTTAATATGTAGGTTTATTACATTTTTTATATATATGTATATTTTTTTTTGGTTAGCATATCGCTGTCAGACTGTATTTTCCAATATTTGCTCATATTTTGATATATATTTTTAAATTAATTTCTACTTAGTGWCATAGTCGCCAAATTCATATATAGGCATTCAGTCCCGAGATATTTTATGAATCCCGATATTTCGGGATTTTTAATGCGATACATTTTGCAAAATAATTTTTTGTGCCATAATAAAATTTTCTTTTGCAATTTCGCACTCAGTCCCGAAAAAGTTTTTGTGTCCCGGGATTTCGGGATTTTTATTTTTACGTACTTTTATGTAAATTTCTTGTACAAAAATTTAACAGTTATAATGATAAATCAGTTTTGTAAAATTCASTTTTTTGATTAAAAAAATAAAATAACTTTTAAAATTTTTTGGTGGTTCAAATTATCGCGGACTGACTGAATTTTGAATATTTGACACATGTTTTCCAAAATAATTTTTARCTTTTGTCATAAAATTGTCTCTATCAATTTTGTATTCAGTCCCGAAACATTTTATGAATCCCGMAATTTCGGGATTTTTATTTTGAAGTACGTTTATATAAATTGGTAGTAATATAAAATTTAAGAGTAATTACTAAATAACAATTTTATTAAATTTAATTTCAATAAAAAAAAACATTTGTAAATTTTTGCTTGTTCAACTTAAAGCTGTCTGACTGTATTACTTAATATTTAACACATATTTTCAAACATTTTCCAAATTAATTTTTAATTGGTGTCGCAATAAAATTTCCAATTACAATTTTGCATTCAATACCGAACCATTTTTAGAGTATACTGTATACTATTATAACATAGATTTTTTTTTTGATTTATGATGCATAAGTTCATAAATACATATTTCAAACTTATTTTTAATTTTTYTCAAATAAAATATTCTCTTATAAAATCCCGAAACATTTAAGGAGTATCGTAATTTCGGGATTTTTTATTTTATCGTATTTTAAGTAAATTAGTGTCATAATAAATCATTCGCTCATCAGCAGCCAATTCCGAAAAATTTAATGCAATCCCGAAAAAAATTAGTAATCCCGAAATTTCGGGATTTCGCATTTTAACGTGTTTTTAAGTAAAATAGTGTGATAACAAAATATTCACTTATCTACAGTCAATCCCGAAAAAAAGTTATTAATCCCGAATTTTCGGTGCTTTTGATTTTAATTTACTTTGAGAAAAATATTCCATAAACTAGTGTTATTAAATAATAAATTTATAATTTTTACCATAAACAAATTTTGAAACTTCATTAAAACTTTTTTATTTTCCCACAGGTTGTCATCTCCACACAAGTGACCGTTGATGGTCCACTACTGGCTATATCCGATAATATGTTCGTACAYAACAATTCGAAGCATGGACGCCGCGCCAAACGTTTGGACACCACGGAAGGTACAGGAAACTCCTCCCTGTCCTTAACGGGTCACCCACTTGCGCCTGACAGTACCTATGATGGTCCGTAACAAAATTGATTTACAATTTATTTTGGTTTTTAGTTTTTTAGTAAAAAAATGAGTAGCATTTAAGAATTTTGCAGTAGTTTAACTTTTTCTTTTCAAATTAGTAATATTTTAACAATTTTGAATTTAATTGTAATTAGACAAATGATTAAAATAGTTATTGCGCCTAAATGTATGCCATTTTTTTAATATATAGTTTCTGGCATACTTTMGGCCGCAATTTAAGTTTTAGCCATTATTATTTTCATTATGCAAATTTCTTTATTTTATTGCTTAGTTTTTTTCGAATTCGCTTAAAAATTACAATACGGTCGTACACTTAACCACGCATCCCTTCCCCGCTTATCATTACCCACAACATTATATGTCACACATTACTAAGTTTGTAACCTTTCTCRCTACAGGTCTTTATCCACCATTGCCCGTGGCCACGCCTTGCATCAAAGCGATTTCGCCCAGCGAGGGTTGGACCTCTGGCGGCGCAACCGTTATTATTGTGGGTGATAATTTYTTTGATGGCCTCCAAGTGGTCTTCGGCACAATGCTCGTTTGGAGCGAATTGATTACATCGCATGCCATTCGTGTGCAAACACCACCACGTCACATACCCGGTGTGGTGGAGGTGACTTTATCGTATAAGAGCAAACAGTTTTGCAAGGGTTCGCCGGGCCGATTTGTCTATGTTTGTGAGTAAAAATAAATGGTTATTAAAAAACTTAACATTTTATATACTATAATCTTACCAAACCACGTTTTTTGTCGCTCTTCTCTTCTCTTTAAGCAGCGCTCAATGAGCCGACCATCGATTACGGTTTTCAGCGTCTRCAAAAGCTTATACCACGTCATCCTGGCGATCCAGAGAAATTACAAAAGGAAATCATACTCAAACGCGCAGCCGATTTGGTCGAGGCCTTGTACTCCATGCCAAGGTAAGCCGCAAGCTCAGTACACCAGCTTTTTATACCCAGAACTAATCCACTTTCTTACAACCTTTCACTATCTCTTAGATCTCCCGGCGGTTCGACCGGCTTCAATTCATACACCGGCCAGCTGGCTGTAAGCGTTCAGGATACCGCTGGCCAATGGACCGAAGACGACTATCAGCGCGCCCAATCGAGCAGCGTGAGTCCACGTGGCGGCTATTGCAGCAGCGCTTCTACGCCACACAGTTCGGGCGGCTCTTATGGCGCTACGGTGGCTGCTAATGGCTATGGCCCAACAACCAATATGGGTACGTTATCCTCCTCACCAGCCAGTGTTTTCAACTCCACCAGCMGTAAGTTTAAGTACCTGTAGAAGTTTAGAGCGTTAGTTGAGTGCATGTGTCACAACGTATTTGCTGTAGTACGCATTCTTAGGTATGGACCCAGATTAGAATGTATGTAGTTTATAAATTTATGCATGAGACAGGTAGTTACCAGGGTCCTATGAGTCTAAGTCCACTCATACATACTCATATGGTTCAGGAAGGAGATAATAAAGTGAGAGTACTTTAGTCCCAAGAGTTTTACAATGAGGCTTCTTAAGCCTAGCTGCGTCTTTAGACAGYCACTCYACCTATCTACCTAAAAGTATACGAATAACAAATTAGTGCCAACCTGAGAYACTATCAATAAGACAATTATTTTTTTTAATACTCTGTAAAGCGATCTGTCTGTTTCAAAAGCTCGACTTATAAGTTCCAGCCGCTTATTCATTTTCATATTTAAAATATATTTTAATGGGTTAATCTAACAGTCGACCTTATAAACTAAAAATTGTTGATCCATTCAAATTTTTTCGATAAAGTTTAATGGCTAATAATCGATTTTCGATATTGAGAATATCAACTGTTGTGTCGACGTGGGTTAAGTGAAGTTAGGTTAGGTGCGGTGACTGATCCGGAGATCGCTATCGCTATCGCATCTATATGCAGTCCGTCGTGATATAATAAAAACAGATCTCCTGTATTCAATCTTACAAGTCAGCAAAGCTCCTTGTGGGCAAAACACTTCGCGTTATAATCAAGATGAAAGTTTTGAGTTATTCTTGTTCCATACTGCTTTTTCAGCTGGCATCCGGTAAGATTTTCAACCCTACGGCCGDTAAGCTCGGAGTTCAGCTATCCAGTAGTAGAACAGACGAGGAGAAGAGAACTCCRAACCGTTWACATTCCACTRATTRGGAGGCTAGAGTATCTTTCYTTGTCAGCTTAGGGAGATGGTAGGGTATTCCTTAACCATTGTCAGTGAGCTCAAGGCTAAAATCGCCAAAAATACACTGCAATAATCATGGAGTCTGAAAGTGAATTTGACAAAGAGTCCCTGATACTACTACTAACTCTCCACCCAAAGTTTTCACCCATCCGTAAAAAACCCACCCACTACGATCTCACAGGTATGTGTGCAGAAAAGAAAAGGCTAGAGAGCTCGTTTTGATGACTCCAAGATCCAAAATATCCGGTTAAAAGTCAAAATATCTGAATCTGGTAACAATTTTCGCGTGCATACTCCATACCATGGCAAAGGGCACTTTATGCAAAATGCTATTAATTATCATTGTTGGAGTCAATGCAGAGCAACTTGTTAGAGTGATGAGTGTCACTCGTTGAACGCTCTTTAGCTTCCTTGCAAGTGTGGTCTGTTTTAGGACTTTCCACCACACATAGATATAATAGGCTTGTCTACGGCGTCATAAAGCCAGATGACTACTTTTGGTGAGCGATCCCACTTTTTGTCAATGGCTTCTCTACAGCAGTATAAGGCAGTCAATGCTTTTTTTCTCTCTTTAATATTAAGCTAATTCCTATCTAGTATGAGCGCTAAATACTTCGCTGTATCTACAGGCTGCAGGCGGATACCTAACCTCCGTGATCGAGTTTTTTATTTAACAAAGTTGGTCTCTCATCAGTCTCTACTCACGCAAGTAGCACCACTAGCTTGGAGCGCCGTTGCTACACTGACGTCACTCAAAATTAATTTTCAATCCATATGACTTTGTATTCTGTCATTGTATAGTAGTACCCATTGTAATGCGCAGCACTGTAGTTTTGGTAGTTTTATGCATTTTGTATACAGTGTTGTGAAAAATAATTAAATATAACACGCATTTTAATATTTATGCATTTTTTGTGGCATTGAAAAATCTGTAGTGAATTTAAAAATAAATGTTTTAAAGAATAAGGCTTAAGTATTTTTTTTTAATAATTTATTCTAATTTTTTCTTAGTGTGTAATGTATGTAAATAATTGATTTAGTTGTTAACGCAGCGATTTTGTTTCTTTTTCTTTTTTCTCTTTTCATTGCATGGTCTTGTTATAAAAAAAAAACACTTTGAAATATAAAAACACACACAATTAATTATTTAAACATTCGATTTTTACACGTAACGGTATTGTAATTTGGTGTTATGCTTTGCAAAAATTTATACTGAATGTTGTAAAATTTGTCAAATAAAAAAAAAAAAAAAAAAAAAACAAAAAACACAAAATTCAAAAAAAAAATATAAATAAAAAAAAACTCCAAAAAACCAACAAAAAATACGAAATATGCTCAGGCAGTGCCTTTTCGCCATTAATCTCAACAGTGTCGTCACCGTGGCATCAGGCGCTAGTGCAACACCACCACACACATCCGCACCACTATCACCACCATGCGCACCAGCCGTGGCACAATCCAGCCGCCTCAATCGCAACCGCCGCCGTGTAGAGCGTTCGGAGCATGCAGCCCAAGAGTTACGTGCATTTGCTCTGTGAAAACTTAACGGTATAAATGAGAAATATTTATTTTTTTACATTTAAGTTACTTAGTTGTGTCGCCAATGAAATGTGTCAACTATGCAAATACTGTGGCAAAAGTAGTTTTCGATTTTGTCTTTTTTTTTTTTTTGTTATGCTAATAATTTCCACGTCGCACTATGCGCTTGAGCTGCGGCGACTATGAAGACCACTGTAGGTTACCTGTCCGGTTTTTTGTGATTTGAAACTCCGCAGGTGCGTACCACCAGATTTTGATTTTTTTTTTTTACTTTTTTCGCTCTTTTTGCGTTTGCCTGCATTGAAAAGGACAGGTAACCATTTCCGGGTACGCGCCTGAGCATTGTTCCAAAAAATTCAAATAATAAAAACCACTTCACTCCATACATCCATATTTAACTTTGTACATACAAAAACTTTGCATCTTTTCATAATTAAATAATTTTATTTACGCAGCTTTAAAAAAAAAGTTATTCCTTAAAAAAATACAAGAGTTTTTATTCATGAGGCTTGTTATGAAAGCTTYCTTTAGTAAGAAATATTTCTCTTAATTATTACTTCTTTTCTATAAAAGTATCGAAAAAAAGCGCTTTGAAAGCTTTTAAGGAATTTCGAGAATTTCCTTTCAAATAAAAASTTTTACTAACWAAAAATAAAATAAAAATTTATTTGCAGAGCTTTTTAAGCAATCCTGGTTTATTTAGCAAAAATGCCTTAATTGTGTTTTGCTCTATAGTAAGAGATTGAAAAAAGCTTTTTGCAAGCTTTTATTCAATTTCGAAAATTTTTATATGCTTACAAAGGAAAACTATTTCATCAAAAAATACAAAAACTGTAAAAAAAAATGTAAAATGCTTTTTAATTAAACTTATTCCAGTAAAAACTAAAAAAATATAAAAAAGAAAGCATTTTCGAAGCTTCTGGGAAATTTCGAAAATTTATATGATTTTTCAACAATTTTTTTTAATTTCCATATAAGCTTTTTATTTCATATTAAGGAATTAACAAAAAAAAACTCTTTGAAAGCTTTTGTGCAATTTCGAGAATTTTATAAACTTTTAAAGAAAAACTACTTAATTAAAAACTGGTACATAAAATTAATTTAAAGAGCTATTTAAGAAAATTTATTTTAGTTAGAAATTATTATTTAATTATTCTTCATTTTGCATTAGAAATTTAAAAGGATTAAAAAAAAACTATTTCGTCAAAAAGATACAAAAATTGTTATTATAAAAGTTTTTTAAGAAAATTTATTTCAGTAAAAACTTCAAAAAAAGCTTTTTAGAAGCTTCTGCACAATTTTGAAAATTTTTATGATTTTCAACACTGTTTTTTAATTTTCAAGAATTATTATTTCATACTGTTAAAAGATTTAAAAAAAGCTCTTTGCAAGCTTTTAAGCAATTTCGAAAATTTTTATAAGCTTTTAAAGAAAACATATTTCATTAAAACAATAACAAAAGAAATTTATTTAGAAAGCTTTTTAATAAGGCTTATTTTAGTAAGATATGAATACTTAATTGTTCTTCATCTTACATTAGAACTTTAAAAAAAATTAAATAAGCTTTTGAGCAATAATGAAAAGTTTTATGTTTTTTAACAAATATTTGTTCATAACTTTTTAATATTTATAATTATTATAAAAAATTGAAAAACTTTTCTAAAGTTTCCTAGCAATTTTAATTATTTTTAGGTGAACACATTAATTTTTAAAAACTATTTACATATTTAGTTCAAAAATGAATGAACATTTTTTAAAAAGTTTGAAAGCTTCAGAGCAATTTTAATTATTTTATATTTTTTTAAAAAAATTTGTTGTTAATTTTCAAGAAATATTTTTATATTTAGATAAAATGTAAATTTTTACTTTTGTTTGCAAGCAGAGCTAAAGTTTTTCTGAAGCCTTGAAGAAACTTCGTTTCTTTACTCGATTTTTACACTTTACTCCAGCTTAGCTGTTCACATATTAGTCTCAAATAAATAAATAATTTCCAGTGTCCAAAATCAAAAAGCTCAGTGTCTAAGCTTTTATTAAACTCTGTATGAATTAAAAAAAAAGTGTTGAAGTTGATATTAAAAGCTTATTTGTATATTCAACAGCTTTCATTTTTGTCGCGAATTCAAGCTTGAACTTGAAATAAAAAAATTAACTGCCCCAAAGCTTAAAATTTCTAAAAATATGTATAAAATATTGGCATCTTATTTGTAGCCTCAGTTATTTCGTGTATTTATGCTGTTTTATGCATGAAATGTTTGGCTTTTTGAAGCTTTTTTGCCAAAGCGGTATATCTAAGAAGCTCATTTGCATCTAAGCAGATGCTAAGTTCGTATAAAAAATTATTTTCAAAGCTTTTAAAAGCGTTCGTTTTCTGTGAACTTTCTAAGCTTTGTGCAAGTTTTGCAATTTATTTCTAGTTTTTAGACATAATGAAAGTTTGGGGAGCTAAAAGCTTCAACTGCTAAAACGTTGCGTGAAAGCTTTCGTTCAGCCACATTATATAAACAAAATTTGCATAGTTTTAACATTTACATTGTAAAATAAATACATTTTATATACAATACAACAATAAATTAGATTTTAATCAAAATTTTTTCTATGCCTTACAGGAGTGAGCGGCCTCAGCTTCAATCCATTCACGCTGCCAACGTGCAACACCCAAGGCTATGGCACCAGCCAACTGGTGACATCGACCAAATAAAATGCGCATTGGCTTACAAACATATGGGAACAGCAAATATCAAAGAAACMTACTACATACATACTCACAAAAAACATATGAGCATTTGCAATTTGGTTACAACAAAAATCATATTCGAAATTACATATCTTTTTACTAGCGGGGATGGAAAAAT